GTTCCTTACACATACAAGTTAAGGTATCCCCAATTAACTGATCGACGGCATTTCACAGGTCGAAAAGGAGGATCTTCCAGCTGACTTTCCATACGTACAGCTGCCCCTGAATTTCAGAAAAGGAAACTGCTTTTCGGCCTGTCACCCAGGACACATTGCCAAACCTGTGTGCCGGCCCCAGCCAGAGGTCCCAGCTGAGGCCAGGTCCCACACGAAGCAGGGGACTCGACTTTTCACAGCACTCACGGCCTCAGCAGAAAACGTGTCACAGGCAGGGAGGGAAGCTGCATTTTGGCATAACGTGGATAACAGAAGCTAGAAGGAATAACTGTTTTATAGAAAGATCAGGAAGCGTTTGGTAGAGACCAACACTGCTGTCATGGTCCTTCCTCCAGTTTATCAGTTTTAAGACCCATCTTCCCTTTCCAGGTACCATATTAATACCTGTCTAAAGGCATGTGGGTGGCCCTTCGCTCTGGTTCAGAATTGTATACTCATGACAAACAGCAAAGATTTGGGAGAGGAAGAAGGGAACTACCACCATTTAGACCAGAGGCCAGACAACCACGTCAAGCATAGGAACGCTGAAGCTACCCTGCCCCACTTGGTGGGGTTTGTTTTTGGTTTTTTTGTTTTTTTTTTTTTTTTAAACACTCCTTAAGACCTATGAATCATTATATCCAGGATAATCACCATCAGTTATGCAAAGATTCTGGTACTACAATTAGAAGTAAACACAGTGCTGTTCCAACATGCTGTTTTAATTCGTTCATCAGGCAGATGAAACATTACCCTGCAGGTTCTAGCCGGCTGCAAAGCGTACGTGCATCCAGTAGCAAAACAGTAAACTTGGCTGCTAAGTTCAGTTAACTACGATACCAATTTTTAAATACAAGCACTTCATAAAAAGTGCTCTTACCAAATAATTAATCATTCCCATACCTAGTTATTCCTAGGAGAAAGCTGAGCTTTACAGCTGAACTAGACTTCCTGTAGTGTAAGTAAAATCAGAAATGTTAGTGTTCACCAAAAAAAGAGCAAGCAAGAACCCTAGCTCCAAGAAGCTAATAATTAAAGTAAAAGGAACTAATGAAGGCCAAGGTCCCCAAAGCAACGTGCGACTCCGCAGAGCTGTGCAGCACGCCCTGTGGTTCTTCCCCTCCAGCTGCTCATGTCCGCTAAAGCCGAGAAGGAGGGTGAAGCATCAGGTCTGAGAGAGGTAAGAAGGTTGTATGACCAGAGCTGGAGGGTAACACAGAAAACATTATTGATTACATAGCATATATAACCAGAAGCTGCCGAAGCATCTGGCCTCATGAATTTTATGCTATTCTGCAACTTGGTACGATACTATCTTAAACTACCAAACTGAGAAAAATTTCGCAACAACTCCAAATCAGTGAGAGGAATTTTGGAATTTTTTTTTTTTTTGCAAGTTGAGTGAAACAAGGTTTTGCAATTCTTCATCTCGACGGCTGAAGGAAGCACCAACGCCAGAGCAAACCAGTGGGGTTATGGAACCAGTTCAACTGACTCGCGATCGACAGTCTCGTGATTCCGAGCTCAGACGCGCCTTCGTACCTGGCATTTATCACGGCACGGTATTAATCCAAAGCACTTTCCCCAAGGAGACTGTAGTAAAAGTTGGTCACCTTTAGCCATGGAAATAGGGTCACCACCATTAGCTGCAGGGAACACTCATGACGGGCACATTTGCTAAAATACTTACAAGGACTCTTCAGATGAGGGTTTTGTTATACGTTATTAACTAAAATGAGGCTTTCTAGCATTTTTTTTCATCTAACTCGCCATCCTCCACCATTCTTTCAAACAGGCCATGTTTATCTACTCTGTGACCAACCCTTATTGTGACATGGACTTTCTTTCCGTCGAACCTTCGAGCCAGCCAAAGCAACGGGAGCACCGCAGCTCTTCCTCTCCCAAGCGGAAACGGACAAACCGTGACCCAGCTCCCAAAACCACGAACGCGGCCCAGAGGGCTGTCCCCCCCCGCAGGCGCCTGAACCGCAGGAACGGCCGTCATACTGCACATCTTGATTTCACATGCGAGACCAGATCCCCGGGGGCTCACCGAGGCAGACTCAGCTCATCGCTGCGGCTGTAAAATCAGCTGAAGAGGGTTCCTGTCAGACTTTCACCCTCCCTCCCCCTTCCAGGCACAATCCAGTTTACGGAACAGCGCACAGAAAGAGCTAGGAATCAGGGATTCTGCACACTGAAGTGAAAAAGATCACTCCTTGTCAAAAAGTCACACTTTGGAAAAACAGAAACGTCGATTTCTTTTTTTTTTTCAGCACGCCAATACCGAAACCGAAGTTAATGACTTCATCTCTCTTCAAAGTAATCTTGCCTGAAAGTAAATGGCAAGGAGAAAGAGGTAATGTAGATTAAGAACAGGGCAGAAGGAGGCAAGGGAAAAAGCAGCTCAGAACTGGAACAGCCTCATACTCTTCGCTGTACAACGAAGCCTTGGAAAAGAACCTGCTGGCTGCCTGTCATTAAAGCGAAGCATCCCTCCCCATCACTGATCTCTGTCCAGTTAGGGAAACTGATGTCAACCGTAGATACCATCAAAGCTGCTTCACAACAAGTTCTGATCAAAACGATACCCTGGCTCCAGATCTCACTGACTTCATTTTCCACTAGGGCTCACGGGGGTAGTATTTCCTTCAAATACAACTGACACGGACTACGTTCCTTTTCTAAATGAAAATGCTTCATTAAATCATCTGCAGTTGAGTAACGGCTCATGAAGCGTTCCATCCCGCTCGGCTGCCACGGAAAGCCACTCCACGGTTTTCCGGAATGCCAAGGCACTGCCGCAAAGCTACCAAACGGCAGAGATGGGGATGAGGCACGAGCGCATCGTTGATGTCAGTAAAAGCAGCATCACAGCCCATCCCCGCACGGCTTGGCTCCCCAGCCTATTCTGGCTACTTCGGAAGCATGGAAACTCATCAGAGGGAAAAAGAGGAGCCAAGCACCTCTTCTCCTGCGTGAGACGTAGCTGCGGCAAGTGATGTTCAGAACTGCACAGGCTGTTTTGCAATTACTGTTCTTCCAAAGCAAAGTAACCATCTCCCTTTCATTTCTCCTAAAACTTCCAAAAATATATTTTCTATCATCAACTGGATATTTTCTGTCATCCACTGGATGTTTTCAGAGAACTACAAGAATCTGATTTTTCATTTTTTCACAGCAACCACCGAAAGATTTTTATTTCGGATGCTACAGTATATGCAATTATACTGTGGCTGTTACCTCCACGTAGCTCTGAGGACAACTGCAAAAATTCTCACCACCTTTTACAAGTTAACGCAGTAGCCAGGAAGATGCTCCAAGTACTGAGTAGGCAGTACCACTGCTGGGAATTAAAGGACAGATCCACGAAGGATTCTGGGACTTGGACACAGCAGTTGAGTGCCTTGGCACATTTTTACAAGTGTCCAATGTTCACGTATTTCTTAAAACATTTATGAACTATCTCAAAAAGCTTAACTTTCTTACCTAGGCTTCCTCTGAACAGTCAATTTTGCCTAGATTGCAGAAGGTTTCATGTACATAAAACCTCTTTATATGTCTGTGTGTATATACACACACACACACGTAAAATAAAATATGTATTGATCAAAAAATCCAAATTCATCCCATCTTGATACTAACTGCAGTTCTGGCTCTGCAGAAGTACTTCACTGCCAGCCTGTCAAAGACAGCGATTCACTGATGATTTTGTTTCTATTTGGCAATGAATATTCTTAAAATGTTCTAAAAATAGCATACAGGACATCTCACATCCAAGCACAAACACTGTAGTATTTCCTGTCTATGTTATTTTGAATTGATAAAAGAAATGAAAGGACATAAAGAAGTTTAATGAAGGACCAGTTATCCCTTAATTTGACAATACACAGTACTCTCACCTAATGCACCAAAGTTTAACTGGGCATTTGGTACCTACCCCTTTGGACAGTTAACGCCTTTCTCAGCTTTCTTAAGCAATGAAGATACAGCTCAAGTATGTGCCTAGATTCTCTTGTGGATTAAAAAATAAATACATTTAAATTAAGAGACCAGGCAGATGTGTGATGATTTCACCATACCCCCTCCTCAACTCTGTGTTCCTGGTGCCAAAGTGACTTTGTTGCGCTTCTAACAACAGCACACACAACAGGATGTCTCCCATTTCTTCCAACTTCATCAAGCTAACTCCTGGATTTGGTGTATAAACAGTAAAACTGAAATATTTCTACTGGAAGTTGGTGTGTTTCCTAGTAAACAGCAAGACAATCAATGAAGGAAGTGAAGCGTGCTTCCTTCGTAACACGTATGGGCTTCTAACAAGGGGCTAACAGCAGGAGACGTTAGTAACCATGTGCTGGAAGAATAAAATGTGCCAGGCTTGAACTGAGTCCTGTGTAAATCAAAGGGCCACTGTCAAGGCCCAGTAAGCCAAACTGTAACAACCTTTAAAGAATAAAACTCCTGTCCTCTTTAACGTCTGAAAATACACAAATTACCATCAGATTCACGATGAGAATGAACTATTTCAGTTGCTCAAAAAAAAAAGAAAAAAAATTCTCAGGTTTAGAACTCTGTCAGTGTGGTCTTCACGTGGGGATGGTCTGAAAAGCTACTGATTGACTGAAATGCATGAACACCCCGCTCTCCGATCACTTCACAGTAGCAGTCCTTTGCCCGGGAACTTACTGTGGCAGGTCCTAGAAAGCAAGAAAAACTATGTCCTAAGCAGCAACTAAATTCAAGTTTAACAGCTCACCAGTGTAATATTAGCCCAAAATCCAGCTCAGACTAACTCTTTGGTAAATTCTCAAGATCAGCAACATTTCAAACAACTAATCTGAGTCATCCCGACCTAGCTAGGGATTAGAGTTGACATTGTAGGGCTGTCAGGTGTACCTCAAAGTAGCTTCTGTTACTCTAATGATCTCCTAACTGATGCAAATCCCAAATCTCCACGCTGTCCTTTGTTCTCAGAATTAAATCAGAAAGAGATAATGAAAAAGCCGCCTTCTTCTCCCCCACACACCATCTGACCGATGCTCCCAAGCTGCGGGCATGCCTTCCACCAGGGAGGAGACTCGCAGCCCTCTGGCTCCTCTCGGTGGGGAGGAGAGGTAAGAAGGGTTTTCTCTGGGAGGTGCAGAGATGGGAGCAGGGAAGAAGCTGGGTGCAGGTGCCCGTGACGCAGTGCAAGCAGCAGGGAGGGGGGGAGCAGGGCTGCACAGACTGCAGAGCTGCGGGAGCTGCACTGCCCCAGTTCAGCGTCTCACCTCCCACCAGGGACCAGGAGCCGTGGAGCTGCAAGCTGCCTCCTCTCTTCCCGCTCGACCCGCTGCCCGGAGCTCCCCAGTTGCTGCCCCAGCCCTCCTCCCAACCTGGTCACATTCTCCACCCCTTTCCCAAAGGCTCCCTTGTCTCCAACGCTACGGCAGCATGTACCAGAGGTGGAAGTTTCCAGTTTTCTACTGGTAATTAAGAGCACTGCAAGAAAGGTCAGATGAAGCAGCAGACTGAAAATAATTTGCGAATAAGGCGCCCTAAACCATCTCTAACTCAGTTGTCCCATGAGTTCACCAACTGGACTCAGACTCCACTTTCTAATGACCCTCCATTATCCAGACATTCAGTATTACACGTTAGTCTAATCCCTGTGTTGCTCAGAACTGGCACGTAAGCTTTCACAACACCGAATTTAGCAAATGAACTAATGAAAACCGGGAAATGAGGAGTCTGGTTGACACATCCAACCAACCACTGATCTGTCCTCCAGAGCTGGCAGGGGCTGACACAAGAATACATCTTGTACTTCCTAGTTTTGGATGCCTCTCATTCCTGCGTCGTACAGCCGAACAGCTTGGCTCGCATGGAGAGTGTGAAGAGAAAAGAGAGAAGGCTGTTCTCACTCTTCCACGCACATGTGTCTGAGCAGCTTCCAACCTGCACCCTCTGGAGCAATCCCTCTACAAATCTCAACTGACAAACAGCATGAGGAGGAGTTCAGAGCTACAAAAGAGCAGACACACCAGACCCTCACCACTGTCAGGTGTTCAGCTCAGATAATGCAAATACTTGCACAGCTTTTCCCCCATTTGAATGTAACACTCAACAAAACGTTACGGGCGTTCTGAAGTCCCATGGGATAGGTGTTAAACGGCTGGTTTGACCAAACTTGAGGTTTGATTCTTTAAGCAGAATAAGCAAGACATGCCAATTCAAAAAAAAAAACCACCACCCAAAACACACAAAACCAGACAAATGAAAACCAAAGGTTAATTTTTAATCTGCGTCACTGAATTCAAACAGCCCATTGCTGCGTGAACAACAGCAGCAGCAAAAGAGAGGGAACACGTCCTTTGTGTAGGCTCACCGAGCATACCCTTGGACAGCATGTACAGGAAAGACAGGGCTACTTCCTACCCTCTTTAATAGCACAGAATGTGACCATGTTCTTTCTAAAGGGCTGTGAAAGTCCCAGAAAGGTTAGCATTCCAAAACAACCAAAATACCCCAGGACTTTATGACTGACAAAAACCAGTAGAGGCATCCTCCCCGGCAGCCTGTGAAATATTTCCATGCCTATTTGCCAGTAAGTCGCCTTCCTTGCCCCATCCTCTTAGTTTTTAAATCTGCTTCTGTTAAACAACACACAGCACGCGATACGCTTGAAAGCGTAATCTGCTCAAAGCTTGAGCTGTTCCCAATGCCAGCTATACTCCTGTATGCACCCAAAAAGGCTTTCCAGAGAAAAAGAACTGGAAAACGTGGTATGTGAAGGCAAATTTCTGCCAGCCCAGCATTGTACCATGCCCAGAATCCTCCCAACAGTCACGTCTCCCTATATCCACGCTTTTTCTGTTCTTCTGTCCTTCCCTTAGCGACGGATGGCAGCATCCCTAGAGTTTCTGCGCCTCCTCCAGCTCTTACAGACTACTCGTTACCCTGTGCTCCTTAAGGGTCTTTATGTTGTTTTAGCCACAACGTTCAGGAAATCCCCCAGGAAAAGTTAAACTCAGTTCTAAGCCCGAGATACTTCAGCAGCGTGAGACTAGCACAAGGTGTACGCAAAGGGTAGAGCAGGAGGCCAAGGGAAAGCAAGCCAGTGCAGGGGCAGACAGCCTCTGCCCACATGACGAGGCTTGGGGCTACCACTCGCTCTGTTCTGAGGGGAGAGCCTCAGGGATGTATAAATCTGGGGTAGAGGGAGGAGAAAATGCCCCAGATTTCCCTTCTTTACGTTGGTCCACCCTGGTTTTCTCTAGCAGAACCGGTAAAATACGTGACTTTATGAGGTTACACTTCCACATCTGTTTTATGCTTTATATTCTGCTGGAAACTAAGATATCTGCAAAACGAAAAGGAAAAAAAAAAAAAAAGCTTTTGCCCCAGAACAGAAGAAATGACACAGGCAGGTCCGCTGGGCAGTTTTTCAGGTCGGTTATTACTTTGTCAGAGAGAGACACCTGGTGGCTACTCAGCCAGTGCCCAGCCACCGGCCTCTCACCCTGCCAGACACCCGGCTTGTACATCTCAGAGGGCAGAGGGAAAAACGCCTCCCGAGAGCAGAACTGGCCACCAAAACGGAGACCCCGAGTAAAAGCAGCGGAGGAACCGCCAGGGGCAGCTGGCACAGCCAAGCACCGCCAGCAGCTCAGAAGGCGTTTATACCGGCTCCCAGCACACCGTCAAGCTGAACTCCAGAGCTGTTTCCTGCCCATAATAAAATACTTTGTGATTTTTTTTTTTTATTATTTTTACCATGAAAATACTTTAAAATACAAACTCTGGATGTCAGGGAAAACCCACAGAGCGGATAAAAGAAAGAACGCTTAAAGTTGCCTTAGCCTCTTTCCTGAATTCTCATCTGTCTGTCTGCACTTGCCTCTCTAAGCTGTGCCATATCCAGCATCTACATCCTCCAGCACAGCACTTCCCAGCGCGGCAGGCAACCCACAACCGCATCAGAAGCGCCTCTTCAGACCTAAAGTCAGCCTTTGCAGAGAGAGGGAGTTTTGCAATTACTCTACATCAATCCTCTATCGTAAACCTTTAAAGAAGTGCTTTCTTTTTCCAGCGACAAAACTCAATGTTAACTAAAAGATGGAAAAACACAACGGCACTGACTCTTCCTCCTGTTACTCGATGTTGGCATTTTTCAAAATAAAGCATGAATTGCATAAGCTGTTCAACTGAGCCCAAAGAGCCAGAAAACCGAAAAACTGCAGCACGAAACATTAAATCTAGAAAGGTTTTGTAAAAAAGCCGTGCACCTAACAGATTTTACCAGTCAGCATATTGGTGTGAATCCAGATTCGCATCATTACGCATTCAGTGACAACAAAATATCGCTGACTGGAACCAAACTGAAGACTCACGTGAAATTAAAGGTGGTTGAATTTTCTCTTCTTTTTGTAAATCCGACAGGCAGCGTTCTCAGGTCAATATTACACCTTCGAGCTTTGTTTCTCAGGCAATATAACTAGCAAAAAAATAAAAACAATTTTTAAAAAAATATCCTGAATAAGACACTCAAAACCTGAAAGTTAAACAATGAAAGAGTAATTCTGACAGGAATTACGGGAAAATCGCAGAAAAGGCCGCATTTAATGAAAAAGTTTCTAGGCCTCCTTTAATACCTGAAACATTTTCAGGTGGAGTTTTTCCACAGTTAAAAACCAACGTGCCAGTGACTTCTTTATAGTAAAAGTTCTTCATCCTGAATAAGACACTCAAAATCTGAAAGTTAAACAATGAAAGAGTAATTCTGACAGGAATTACGGGAAAATCGCAGAAAAGGCCGCATTTAATGAAAAAGTTTCTAGGCCTCCTTTAATACCTGAAACATTTTCAGGTGGAGTTTTTCCACAGTTAAAAACCAACGTGCCAGTGACTTCTTTATAGTAAAAGTTCTTTAACACACTGTGAAAGCCACAGCCGGCCACTGCGGGTGTAACACATGGCCCTGATGTTTTTCTGTGACATACCACCAAGTCAAAGTATTTTGGAGCAGATTTTGGTTTTCTGGTTTTGTTTTCCTTCTCCTTTTTCCTTCTCAATCTTGGTCTTCGCAGTTTATTGTCACAGGACTTTCAGGGAATGCCATTCTGTGATCTCATTACTGCTTCACTGGACTTGGAGGAGTTTCAACAAAAAGCCCCTCTCACCCTTAGAAGGCTGGCTTTTACTTCATTGTTGCTTAGATTTATTCGCAGCAGAACTCTAATTGCCTTCATCTGGTATATGGGGAACCACGTAGTAATTTTTAGGCCATCGATAAATCCATTGTTTACCTGGGAATTTTGTACTTAAAAAAGATGGGTCGGAAGGAAACATTCCGGCTTTCTTAACACACACCTGCCATCAAACAGCAAGAGTGCTTAGGCATCAGTTTTAGGACTGTGCACTGTTAGCAACGTATTTTTCCAAGCAGCTGGATGTAGCCATCAATTCTGCTTTTACATAAACCTAGGAACTTCTTTTGATTTCTGGCTCTAAAATTCACGGTCATTCATGCTTTCCTAAGAGGGATATCAGCTCTAAAATCTGGATGGGAACTGCCTCAGTGGGAATTCAAAGGTAGCCAACCCTATCTCCAACAGGCCAAGGTGCTAATTTAAAAAACTCACAAGTTTTTTTGTTGCTGCATTATGCACAGTAGCATGTCGAGCAGCAGCATCAGCTGTCCGTCCTACATCTTCCAGGAACCGATAATCTGAAGGCAAAAAAAAGAACAAGGGAAGACGTGGTGCTAACCCAGTAAAACCAACGGAGTTTGAAAAGCACAAGGAATAGTCTTACCGCTCAAAAGGTTCAAGTCAGTAAATTCATTTACAGCAACGAACGCTGTTTTATCCCTGACTCCGTTACAGCTCAGTGCAAGCTTGTGCTTCTTCACACACAACAGACTGAAACGACAAACAGAAAAGCGTTAACGTGCCACGTTCAGCACCCGCGCGGGGAAATCCACCAAAACAGTTTAATTCAGACAACAGGTACCTGCAGGAATATTTCATGCATCGTGGACATCTGTACTTGGCTTCCTCTTTGCTGCATGTTTCGCATCTGAAAGAAGCAAAAAATACCTCTTCATAAAGCGGCACCTGTGGGCCTGGCTGGCCTGGGAAGGTGCCTGCTCACCAACCAGGCACTACGCCGTCAATCGGCCTTTTCAGGAAAAGTTATCCCACTCTTGAAAGGAGAAAGAGAAAATATAAATACCCTGGATTAAATAAGCTGCCAGATAAAATAACGTAAGCTATGGGGAACATCTCCGGACACGGCTCTTACCTACGTTAGAACACAGTGCCAATGCTTGAAACAAACACCCCAGGCTAACCGCAGAGTAGGGAGCACAGCAAGGCTGTACCAGTTTATGCTTTGTAGCCTGGTTCTATCCGGGCTTTTCTTCGTTTACATCACCTGTAGCGCGCATCGTACCCTGCTCCCAGTTTTAGACAGACAGAAAATAAGTGTCGAGGATTCACACCAAAACCTGGACACTGCAACGATTTTTTTCAACGAAACAGAAAAGCCATGACAGCATCATCAGCAAAATGTCTTCCTGCTGTTGGGAGCAAAAACCCCAAGGTCAGGGAACCTCTCAAGCACAGTGTGTAAGCTTTATGAATACAGCTAACAAATATTATCTCATTAAAAAATAAAAAATCTCTACAAATACATTCTTCTGCTTTTTCACACGGCTACTGCAGTGGATGTTTCTCCTGTTCTTGGGAAAAAGTTCTCGGCACGTTAACTGAAGCAATCATCACTTTTCATTAAATTCTAACAAACTGGGGAAGGAAACAACCCTCCTGCCACACCAGTAAAGTTTTCAAGAATGGCACAAACCCACCGCTTCCAACTACCAGAGGAAAAGCCTCAAAACATTTTCCCGCCTCGCCGCACCAAGGCGCTCGCTGCTGACGGCGGAGGTGTGAAGGCCACGCTGGGCAGTGCCACCGCCCGACGAGACGGCGGCTCCGCACACCGCCAGGGCGAAGGACGAAGAACAGAAAACCAGTGTTTCACACACTGCAAAACAGGAATTGTTCTGACCAAGGATTCCTTTTTTTTTTTTTTTTCCCCCCAGTATCTCCACAGCGCCCGATATACACCTTCAGCTGCAAGGCCAGAGAGAAAACTGCCACGCCTCACCTGCGTGCAGCCCCCACGTAACCCTCGCTCGGAAGCCGAGGACAAAACTCGCCCCACGGCCGGGAAATGTAAAAGACTCGCTCATAGTAAAAGGGAACGGCCCGGCACCGAAGCAGTAACGTCCACAGCAGAGGCGGCTGCTCCTCTCCAAAGAGACAAGGCGACACACGAGAAGGCGCGGGGGCTGCAGGGCAGAGGCCGGCGATGCCGTGCGCTGGGGGCACCTGCGTTCCC